GATTCTCATTTGCTCTGACATGCACTGTGAGCTGTAACGTCTTATATAGACAGGTGTGTGGCTTTCCTAATCAAGTCCAATCAGTATAATCAAACACAGCTTGGCTCAAATGAAGGTGTAGAACCATCTCAAGGATGATCAGAAGTAATGGACAGCACCTGAGTTAAATATATGAGTGTCACAGCAAAGGGTCTGAATACTTAGGACCATGTGATATTTCAGTTTTTCTTTTTTAATAAATCTCCAAAAATGTCAACAATTCTGTGTTTTTCTGTCAATATGGGGTGCTGTGTGTACATTAATGAGGAAAAAATATTAACTTAAATGATTTTAGCAAATGGCTGCAATATAACAAAGAGTGAAAAATTTAAGGGGGTCTGAATACTTTCCGTACCCACTGTATATATTTATCAATAAATCAAATTTGTTTCAATCTTATTCATCTTAACTAACTGGATATTGCTTGTTCCACAGTTATATTTGTTTTCACAATGAACAGATTTATGCTGATTTGAATAAATGCATTTTGAAAATATTTAAATAAAATCAAATAGATGTAAACAATTTATTATAAACTATACTACACCATGATTTTTTTTTAGTGCAGATATTTTAACTGTTTCATGTATGTATAATTGACAAATATGCATATCGTTAAGTTTGTTAGTTTATGTTAAAACTGTGTAATAATCTTTTTTAACACACTTCAAATACATAAATCTTATATTTAGGCCTAAATATTTTTTGAGCGAAGTGATCACTATATATAAACACTGAAATGCATTCAGACAAAAGGTCAACTCTATAAATAATGTAGATATTAACTGAAAGTCTGAAGTGCTTTCTCAGGATGAATGTTTTTTTTTTTTTATAAATGAGAGATTGGGGCTAGCTTTTTATTTTATTGATATATTTTACTTTTTAATATAGTTTAATAACATTTCTGGTAAATTGTTTATTTTTCTAGTTACCTTTTACACTTTTGTTGTCCCATTAATTGTTTTGTTTCATAAATGCTTTACAGTTTAAAAGTATCTGTAATGTCTCTAATTACTCTGAGCAGGAGCTTTCGTTCAGCCAGTTGTATCAGTTTAGGGGTGGGCCTATCTGTTTGATCAACCAATAGCTGAAAGGGGGAGTGTATTTATGCTAATAGTACAGCAATTACACACTTCAGCTTTAAAATTTTTTATTTGCATTCACTTCCTCAGAAGTTCACCTTCCCTATATGCTGAGATTTTCAGTTTTTCAAATTACTGGAGCTCACAAAGCAGCTCAGAATAGACGTTCAGAATCTATTTAGCACTAAGAACAGAGAAATCGGAATCTAGAACAGAGATCAGGTTTTACATTTTATACAGTTCAAATTGATTCGCTTTTGCCTGTTATACCCCACCAAATTAGATAATAAAAGCTTTACTGTTCCCAGCACTGGGAATCTTAATGAATACAGGTCTTGATCTCTCTGTCTCAGCAGCTTGCAGGTGGTGATCAATACAGGCTGGACAAGCTGTCTCCAGGGTTGCTGTACCTAGAGCAGGTGTGCAGGATGCTGGAGAACATTGCAAAGCTACAGCAGCAAAACTACAGCCTGCAGAAAGAGGTGGAGATCCTGAAGAGTCAGCATGCTGAAATAGAGGTTAGACACTGATGTATATCTCACAAAGGTTACATTTTTAAGTCTTATAATCAAGACTTTCCAGTTCTGTTTTACGGCCTGGTTTATGTCAGTTTGCCAAAAGTGGTGTCATGTGTCAAATTGACTTCTTATTGTTTCCTGTAAACTGAAACCTCATATTTCAAGCACATTAACTCTCTAATTAAATGTTTTCAGTGTGGAAGCTTGCATGAGGAGGAAATAAGCTATCCTGGCAGTCAAGGTTTACAGATTCTGGGTCATGAAGATCCACCCAGCGAATCGACTCACCTAAAAGAACCCATGGTGTTTCGTCACAGATCAGTATCTGACACTCAGGCAGCTGTCGGCCGTCACAGTAAGCCCTCTTGACAGATGAACTCAGTGCAAGTTCAAATCCATAAATTTGTTAAAAATGAAACATTCTGGGTTTGGTGGATGCCTGTTAAAAATAGATGTCTGTCCTACAGGGAGAGCAAGGTTTGTTCGAGATGGACCTATTACAGAAGTCTTAGTCGAGGAACCTGATGGTAAAGATCCTGTAAGTAAACAGTGAGTGGGCCAAAAATTCATCATTTACTCACCCTGACATTTTCCGAAATCTGCTGTTCTTTTTTAATTCTTTTGAACACAAAAGGAGTTATAACAGACTGTTCAAGTTGCTTTTCATACAATGAAAGTGAATTTTGAGCAAAACTGATAACTGACAACTTTTGACCAAAACGGATAACTGATTTTAGTGAATAAAAACCTTTGTTGCAGTCTGTTTCTCACAGAAAGCTATTGCAGAGCTTCAGAAGACTTATAAAGTCATTAAGTCATATGTACTTTTATGATGCTTTTATAGTTATTTTTGGAGGCCCTGGTTTTAGACATTCTACTAGACTTTTCCTCGTGTGTCCTGCTAAAATAAGTCTTGTTTTGGAACAACATGAGGTTGAGTAAATGACTGAGTGAGTTTCATTTCTGGGTGAAATATTCCTTTAATAGAAGAATTAGCCGAAGTAGCATGAAATGTGGATGTTGCAAGTTATTATAATAGGACTGTTCCTCTGTTTGTTGAACCAGCTACCAGGAAATGAGCACAAAAAGCTGAGTAAGATCCAAAAGCTGAAATTCACATCCTTTAGAAGGCAGGAAACACAACAGTCTGACAGAGAAAGCAAAAGGTAAATTATTTTCTTTAGATTGACAATATTTTAAGTAATTACTATTTTAAAGGGGTCCTGATTTTGTTTTGGGGGTGTACTAGAACAGGCTCTCATACTATGTTGTTCGAAAAACACATTATTTTTCACATATTTTATGTTATTACAACACCTCTCTCCCCAGTCTGGCATGAACGGCTCGAATAGTTCCTGTATCAAATGAGGGCCCGCCTTCTGAAATACGAAATGTGCTGTGATTGGTTAGCTGGGCCAGTCTGTGTTGTGATTGGTTAGCTGGGCCAGTGTGTGTTGTGATTGGCAGCACTCGGCGTCTGGTCGGGAAATGTCATGTCCCTTACCAAAGCCACCTGTGAGCTTCAGTGTAAATATTGCGTCAAAATCAAATAAATTTGAGCTCGATTTAAACCCGTTCGTCTGCTTTGGGAAAGTTAGCATGTCTCCGACATAGTGATAACACTCATTGCCTTCACTAGTGCAGCTCAACCAGGTCTCGTCCCATTCGTCGATCTTTGTGATGTCACAAATCCCGGAAAATATGCGTTGTAGTCCAAACGAGTCGTTCGTTGTAGTTTTTGAAAAGTGATTTCTGTTCAATAAAATATCTCCTTTTAAATTGGACTTTGAGCTTTGTAACTTTGCCGATCTTTTTTATGCTCAAACAGCAACATTACAGACTAACTAAAGTTGAAAAAGTGAAAAAGCATAATAGGACCCCTTTAACAATTATGTATCATCAATAAAATATAATTTGTTAATGGTAATTTATTACACAAGTGTATCTTAATAAATGTACCTTTATTCAAAGCTTTCAGCCTAAGAAGAAAACAAGAATGCCAAGCTTTTTGAGTAGGACTAGTACGACGACACGTCTCTAACATTAATGCCACATTGATGCCTAGTAATGGTGGCAGATGCACACCTTCCATTCACCTAGGGATTATGGCACTTTTATATGTATAGCTTGTTTTAGTCAAGTATTTAAGGCTGTACTAATAGTATTTATGTACTTAATAGATCATTGTTTAGTTTTTTGTCAGTGCACTTTGTATTTGTTAATCCTATTGTATTTAAATTTGCAATGTAAATTACTGCCAATGTTAAGTTTTCATTACTAGATCCATTCATTGTATTATAGTTATTTTCTCTTTTATCATGATCTCTGCCTGTAAACCTTTGCTGCTAAAGGAATTCCTTATTTTGTAATAGTAAGGTGATTTCATAACAAATTGTTTAATATAATAAAAATACACAATACACCATTTCCTTGCAAGTTTACATACTCATACAAGTTTACATTCCCTTAGCAGAATCTGATGTTTTGCATTTTTAAAAACAAAAATATGGATTTTAATATACTGTATTCCACAGTACAAAATAATAACTTATTTTATCTACATTTTGCACATAATGAATTTATGCACAACTATGAGAAACTATGAGGCTACAAACAGTAATTAATGTTTGAGAAGGCAACACATGATATTAAGAACCATGTATATGTAAACTTTTGAACAGGATAATTTGTGTAAATTCTTGTGGAAAATATATAAGTATCTGTAATGTCAAATACATCTCCATCAGGTCAGTAATAAATTAACTAAAATATATTTTCACGATCTTCCATAATTATATATATTTTTTGACAGATGTGGTTTAGGCTGGTATGTCTAAAGAGGGTGTGATTTTGGACAGAGGGTGTGTGTTTTTAGGAATGGGTGCAGCCTAATTCAGTGACTAAGGGTGTATTCACACCAGGAAAGTCCACTAGTTCACTTGCTTCGGTCCGATCCAAATACAATGTTGATTTTTTTTGTTTGGTGTTGTTCGTTTTCACACTGCCCTTTTTGCAAGCGAACCAGACATTGTAAACAAAACCACACGTGTGCTAAGGTCATCCATTCATTGGTTCATCCATTCAACTCTACCAGAGTTTGTTTGGAACCGGACTGAGACCACCTCTTCAGCTGGCACTCGGTACAGTTCTTTGGTCCGCACCCGAGTGCGATTGCTGTATTCACACCTGTCCAAAAGATCTGCACCAAGGGGGCAACGAACTTTAGTTTTATTCAATAGAAACAAGACAGGTGTGAAAACACCCTAAGTCTACCGGATATTAACATAACAGTCTAATTGCATACAGCACGTAACTTAGCAAGTGAAAGTTTAGACAAAACAAACAGTTTGACTTTTAAATTCTTTATTGGTCTTTATTATACCCAGGATGGGGGGAGACAGACTTCCCTTGGCATTCCCATGTAAAGAGATCAAAACAAGAGATCGAGGGCTATAGGGAAATCAGTTCATACATAAAATACATTTACTCTGATATTTCATATTTCTGTCTTTGCACACAAGTGTCCTTTTCACTTCAAGTCCACATAGCATCCTGTGCTATTAAATATACAGATTCATCTGTGACCCTTCGGAGAAGGTGAATGTGTGTGACTCAAGGTTTTCAGATGGTGGAATAGCTTTTGGGATGAGTTGTGTCATCCGCCCTCTCCTTTCTACATGATGCCACAGGAGGAAAGAGGGTTGGCAATGTGGCAAGTGCAAGCTGACTGACAGTACTGGCGCACCGTCTGATAGCAGCTGCGGTCCCCGTCACTGCCCCACTGCACGACCCCTGCTGGGTCGGGCGGCAGCCGGCTGAGGATGCTGGTGTTGATGGCCAGCGCGGCTAGCCCGTAGTCGGTGAAGAGAACGGTCTCGCGGCGGCAAGTGGGGCAGGAGATGAACTTGTACTTGGGACAGGACTCGTATAAGATCTGCAGGCACTCCTCACACACCGAGTGCAAACAGGACAGGATGCGTGGGCGCTTGCCGGCAAAGTTGTAGGTGTGTCCACAGGTGGGGCAGTCCAGTGGTTCGCACGGCATCACCGGGCCTGAGGAGGTGGAGGACGAGGAGGAAGAGGTGGAGGAAGAGCGGAGCACGTACTGGTTGACGATGACGTTGTCCATCTTGTAGTGGAACTGGTGGTAGCAGATGTCGGATGTGCTGGTCTTGCGCTGGGCAAGATAACTTGCTTCCCGGCGGAGGACGGGGGCAGGAGGAGACACTAGGGGTCTGGGTGGGACCACGGTGTTGCCGTTGACCTCCATGCACAGGTCGCCACATGCCTGGTTGACGATCACCTCCCCCTCGCCTCCTCCGTCCCAGGCCACGCGGGGAGGTGGGGCATAGCGAGGCTGGGTCATGGGGACCGGACACTCCCGAGAGAACTTCTCCGATTGGATGATCTTGACAGTGTCCATGGGGATGGTCACAGGTTGGCGCCGCAGGCAGGACATTCACTCCTAGGCTCGGTGTTCTTGGCTAAAGGAACAGGGTGTAGAGTACGGTCCTGCTGAGAACGTCTTTAGTGCACTGGGGGAGGACACTCAGCCATTGCAGGGGACGTGAGGACGGATGGGTTTGTCCATTGCTGTCTCAAAGTCCCTCCTTGGTCACGGGCTGCATTACCCTGAGTCTTTATGTGGCACAGATGGACAACGACTTTCAGCCAGTGCACGGTATAAAAAGCCCTGAAGGACAATAGAGGACTATGTCTTGCTTCAGAGGTCACGAGAAGTTGCAGTTTGTGGTTCAAGTGGTTAAAAAAGTCTTGAGGCAACAACTTACACCCTGTTCACTGATATTGCACCACTGAGAGTTGCTAATTCGATATAACAGGATATTCAATGATATTATTACTTCCAAATGAATGGCTGAACACCACAAAGTGCACCACACTCAATATCAGAAGATATGTTGGCAATTTTTTCAGTGTTTACACTGTTACAGCATATATTTTGACATAAATACAGTAAGGACTTAAATACAGAGTACCTTGAAGAGAATCTTAGGATCTTAATAAGAAATACTGTTTAGCTTAATACTGTTGTTAGCCAAATGTCCATAGACTTTCTCATAGGTTGCTGAATGAGTTTCAGAAGGGAACTGATGCAACCAATGTCACAACCTTCTTCCTGTTTCAGGTCCCTGTTGTGGTATGACCCTGCCCTGTTTTTGCTTTTCCTTGTGATTGGCTGTGCTTACACCTCCCTGACCTTTGTTCTGATAAGCTTTTCAGGGAGGTGCTCATGTGGCATTGGAAAGATCTGGAAGGTGTTCTCCCAGTCCTTAAAAGACCAGAATTCCTTAAGAGGTCTGTGTTGAGCTTGACAGATTGTGCGTCCACTCTTTGGTGACGTGACAGGTCCGGGAGTGTCTCAGGAGTCTTGCCAGACCTTCCTTGCTTCCAGCACTTTTCCCAAAGTGGTGCAGATATGCAGACTCATAGGTAGTGTTGTTTCTGTTCCTGGAGGGGAAAAAATAAAACAGTTCAGGTGATGCTAATGCAAGGACACAGCTCAGCCTTTTCCAGGCCATTTGCCTGCGCTCTTGGGAACAGTGTCTAAAAAGTGTTCTGTCATCTAGAGCTAAAAACCCAGCAATGGGGAAAATCTGATGAAGAAATTTTAAGAGTTGATTCTGTGCAAAAGACTGTGATCTGCGCAACATGTCCACTCACAGCAGAAATCTGGAACCCTGCAGCATCTTTTCCAGTCTAAAAAACTGTCTTGCTCTATCTGCCAGCAGCCATCTGCGGCCCTGTGGGACATGGGCACTGTGGAGGAAGAGGCTGAGGACCTGACCACAGAACAATCTGTCCTTCTGCTATGAACCTATACATGTACAACACAACACAGCAGAAGCCCACAACTCTAAAATGGCTGCCAGTGCTTACTTGAAGTCAGTTGTGAATTACTGTTCGCAACCTATTTTACTTTCATAATGTGATATATTTCAGTGAAACAGGGTATTCAACAAGAAAAAATTTAAGACTGGACTTGATTTTATTTAGCATAAATAGTTTGGAATATAAAAAGTGGTTGTGGCTTACAAAAATAAAGATTATGAAGAGAAACACTGTTTTTCTTTAAAATAATATATGCATAGCCTACGCATATATTGTAATATGCATGTTCTGATTTCATGTTGACTTGTTCATGTTGGTTTAATGTTGAATGAGCTTGTGCTATATTTACATTTAAGATATTTAGTAGATATTATTATCCAGAGTGATACAGTGTGAGTAGTATTGTGATATATTTGGAAATATATTGTCAACAGCTAAAAGGAAATTGTTAGGCATGACGCACAATCTCTTTAGTTGTCACACTGTATTCACAATGTACAACAGCATGGTTTGAGTATTGCACTGTTTTTATAAAAGTATTTTAGAATACTATTAAGGACACTAATTAAGTTTTCAGTTTCGTATGCTACAGTATATTGATCAGTAAGCATCCAGGACCAGAATCTGTTTAAGTTCTGTTTAAGTAAGTCATTTTTGGTTAGATATGTGAAATGGTGTGACAGTTTTAAAACGGAGTTATCTGAGATAAAAATGTTGTGGTTAGGTGTGGTTTGTGATTGTGTGAGCTTTATTAACAGTGGTGAGCACACTGACTTATCTGTAATAGTTCTCTGCATGCTGTGCAAGATGTGATGTTAGAGAATGTACTAGAGAGAGAAAAATGAGAGGGAGGGAGAGAGAAGCAGAGAAAGAGGAAGCTGACCTACATGCAGCAGAAAAAGGTCGAGAGAGAACATGCATCCTTTTACTCCACATCCACACTGTGCTTGTGATCTTATGCGCTAAAATAGAACGCTTCCATTATAATTAACAAAGCTGCTTACACTGCAGGCGCGTGACAGCACTTTAATGAATATCACAGAAGCATCTAGTTTTGTCGCATCACAGTGCTCTGCTCGCTTGCAGAGTCGAAGAGGAATGGTACATTCATGCCATGTTGGAATTACCATAATTACCAGATTCTGATTAGTAAAAAACTTGTAATTACAAGTCTTTGGACTTGTAATTACACATTGGAAGCTCTGAAATTAATGAAAGCCTGCGGTGAGATTATATAAAAACTAATGTTAGTGACATCAACATGGACATTTCACTTCTAATGAAAATTTGTTATTTACTGACATAATTTACTCACCCTCTGTGTATTGTTTTTTCGGTAAAACATAAAATGAGAATGTCAAGAATCTTCATAAAGCTCTTTTCCAAGACAGCTTACAGTGACCACTGCTGTCAAGTAAACTAAAATAAATAAATAAATAAAACGAAGTAGTCCATATAGAGCATTTTTTCCCAAGCCTTCTGAAGCTAGACCTATATGAGAGCAGTGTTAAAGGAACAAGACAAACGTAAAATTTGAGTTGAATTACTGAAATAAATGAACTTTTCCACAACAATCTAATTTATTGAGATGCACCTGTAGTAATTACCTGAAAATGTCTCCCTATTACATGTTTGGAAAGACATGAGAGTGAGTAATGACATAATTAAATTTTTTTGGATGACTTATTCAAGGCAGTTACCTAGCTACTGCTATACATTTACCATTTAATATGTTTAATATAATATAATATTTTCATACAGTATACACTCATTCACACTGTTGGTGACAACCACAGTACTTATCGAGTCTTACTGTCTGTATGAACAAGAGGCCATATTTATTCTCACGCTAGTCATGAATATTGACTAGAACAGTGAGGGACTAAAGTAAATATCAAAGATGGCGACTTCAATAACGCTGGAAATTCTATTACAGTTGATGGCGCATTCATCTGTAAAATCCAAGAGATTTGCAGAAAATGTGGGTGCATGTAAGTTTGGTTGTCACTCCCATAAAAAAAAAAGAAAATAATGTCACGCATGGATCCATGTTAGCATTATGAGTTAGAGAACTTAAAGAGATAGTATATTTTAAATATCGCAGAGAACTATATTGCAAGCCGAGTGACTTTTTCAAGTCTAGGTGGATAAATTGGACTTTAATTTACAATTACTTTCACGGTTGTTAGTACATCACAGGTCAAAGGACAATGCTGGCATTGCAGATATATCTGGGAACATTTACACTGTATTTACCTAAAGAATGTATTTCAACAGTCGAACGTGGCTGATTCACATGGCATGAATGCACCGTAAGCTAGATTGTCTATTTATGGCGTCTCTCCACTATCTGTGTTCTGCTTTCCTCCTCCCTCATCCATCCATTTCTGAAGATTCGCACTGTTCTCCACACACAGCCGTGGCCCTCCACTCACACACCCACCCACCCACACTCTGGAACATGCGCAGGCGAGCGCTCAAAAACATACTTGTTTTCAACCAGCTCCTTGACGTTGTGATGACCATTCAGACCTAATAACTAGTAGTCATCATAACCTCTGTTTATTCTATTTCCCAGATCTCTCATTGGTTTAGTTGTTTACAATGATATAATTAGGATGTGAACACAGGATGTGGCATCAAACCGTCCTCCATTTTCTGGAGGTCACAGAAGCACTGATCAGCCAGTAACTGTCAGTCACAATCATTGGAGTTGCCACGGCACCGCAGAGCTGTGAGGCAGAGCCGAAAATAACCACACGCTCTTACTGGTTCACACACACATACACAAAGGTGCGAATAAGCTTTCTGACATCAGCGTAGTCAGCTGGTGCATGGGCGTTGGAAACCGTGAGATGTGATGAGTGAAATGATTCTCAAGCCTTCAGACATTTCTGTTTAGAGACAGTCAGTTATACGGGGGGGAAATTATATATATATATATGCCGTTCAAAAGTTTAGGATCAGTAATACTGTGAAATATTATTAACATTTTATTAATAATATTGGTTTCCTATTTTAATATACTTTAAAATATAATTTATTTCTGTGACGCAGCTCTAAGTTCATTCTAATATGCTGATTTATTATCGGTGTTGAAACTGTTGTGCTACTTAATATTTTTTTGGAACATGTGATACATTTTTCTTTGATTTTTTTTTTTTTTAATGAATAAAAAGTTCAAAATAACAGCATTTAATCAAAATAGGAATCTTTTCTAAATTTACTATTACATTTTATCCATTTAACACATCCTTGCTGAATAAATGTATTAATTTCTTAATTTCAGTAAAAATTTACTGACCCCAAACTTTTGAATAGTAGTGTATATTCTAACACAAAATTCCTATTTTGAATAAACACTGTTCTTTTAAACTTTTTATTTATAAAATAATCCTGAAAAAAAGTATCATAGGCCCCAAAAATATTAAGCAGCACAATCATTTCTGACACTGATTATAAATCAGCATATTATAATGATTTCTATACATATTAAATTGCATTAAACCTATTGCATAAATTATTGCATCAAACATATTTAATAAACATGTCAACATTAGCATTAAAAAAAGATCTTGTAACTGTGATGTGAGTCTAGTGCTCGATCTCCAGTGAACATATGTTCTTTAGCACTGTGAATCGATTAACTGCTAATAATTTGTTTGTTTGTCAGGGGCAACTGCCTCTCATTGCACACATGATTTCATATTTGATAAGACAAGCTCCACCGTTATGTAAGAGGCTCATGAGAGAGACAGACAGCAGATAACATATTAAAGCAGGCCAACTGTCTGCTGCTCTGTACGGCACTGCTGCTCTTAATGAAATCATGTGTGTGTTCGACCCTGTCAGCACAAAACATGATGAAGAGAGGCAGAGAGGCAGAGAGGCAGAGAGGAAGAGTAGAAACAGCAAATAACTGAGATGAGCTGGGCTATGATTTCCTGAAGCATGTTAAGCCAATGGTCTCTATGATCTCTACGACCTCTATGATCCAAAAATGAAAATTTGCTGAAAATTTACCCATCCTCAGGCCTTCCAGATCATTAGATTTATCAGAACAGATATGGAGAAATGTAGCATCACATCACTTGCTCAGCAAAGGATTCTCTGTAGTGAATGGGTGCCGTCAGAATGAGAGTCCAAACAGCTGATAAAAACATCACAATAATTCACAAATAATCCACACCACTCCAGTCCATCAATTAACATCTAGTGAAATGAAAAACTATGTGTTTGTAAGAAAAAAAAAGTTTTTAACTTTAAACCAATGCTTCTGGCTGTTTCATTCTCCTTATTCAGAGAAGGTATTCTTCTCTGAATAAGGAGAGAAATATGCACAGATCAAGCACTGTTTACAACTGAAAACAGTCCAAAATAGTTATGAACAAATATGTTGGGGGATTTTGTGAGAGGACAACAGGGGATGGACTTTATTTAACATTACTGTGATGTTTTTATCAGCTGTTTGGACTCTTATTCTGACGGCACCCATTCACTGCAGAGGAGCCATTGGTAATGTGATGCTAAATTTCTCCAAATCTGTTGCCATGAAGAAACAAACTCATCTACATCTTGGATGACCTGAGGGTGAGTAAATTTTCCGCAAATTTTAGTT